CAAGTTTAGGAATAAAAGAGACTTGTTCTCTTTAGTTTGTTTCAGTCAATTCTGTTTTGCGTCAAACTAGCTTAGTGGTTGAGTTAGTGGAGTTGTGTCCTTGTTTCTAGTTTGCTTCAGTTATTTGCTTCTGTTGTTGTAAAACTATAAAACGCATTGAAACGTGATGAATGAAGTCAGATCATTTCAGTGCAATATTGTGTCTTCTCTGAAACTGCAATTACAATTGGTATCAGAGCAAAACACAATTTTTTAAAGTGATCAAAGTGAGAAAAGAGAGAACAGCGAAAGAAAGATGAGTGAAGACAAAACACTTACGATTCCTCATTTCGATGGTCATTACGATCATTGGAGCGAGTTAATGGAGAACCTCTTACGAGCAAAGGGGCTGTGGAGTCTAGTAGAAGATGGCGTTCCCGAGCCAGCAGCGGGAATCGAGACTACTGCAGCGCAGCAGAAGAGTCTTGAGGAGTTGAAGAAGAAGGATCATCAAGTCAAGTACTACCTGTTCCAAGCAATCGATCGGGTCGTGTTTGAGCAGATCTTGGATCGTAAAACATCCAAGATCATCTGGGAATCCATGAAGAGAAAATTTGGAGGGAACGAGAGAGTGAAGCGATCTCTTCTCCAAACTTTAAGGAGAGACTTTGAGGTTCTCGTCATGAAGAATGATGAAAACATTGATGATTACTTCAAAAGGGTGATGATTGTTTCCAACAAGATGAGAAGTAACGGGGAAGACATGCCAGATTCGAAGATCGTTGAGAAGATACTTCGAACTCTGACCGAGAGATTCACATATGTTGTCGTGTCTATTGAGGAGTCCAAGGACACAGGGAGAATGACGATCGATGAGCTGCAGAGCTCTCTGTCTGTTCACGAGAAGAAATTCAAGAAGAGCAACTATGAAGAAGAAGCTCAAGCTCTTAATGTCGGAGGAAGAGGAAGAGGATCCTATAGAGGTAGAGGGAGAGGCAGAGGACGCTCTTTCAACAAGGCAACGATTGAGTGTTACAACTGCCACAAACTGGGACATTTTTCTTATGAATGTCCAAGCGGGAACAATGGTGCACACTTTGCAGAGATCAGTGAGAAGGAAGAAGTTCTTCTTATGGCTTATGTTGAACTTCAAGGGACTAGAAGAGGAGATGTTTGGTTCATAGATTCTGGATGTTCAAACCACATGTGTGGTGAGAGAAGCATGTTCTCAAGTTTGGACACGACATTCACACACGATGTCAAACTTGGGAATAATCACAAGTTAATGGTCAATGGAAAAGGAGTGGTGAAGATAACACTCAATGGGGTAAGCTATGTGGTTAATGATGTTTATTATGTCCCTGAATTGAAGAACAATCTGCTGAGTGTTGGGCAACTTCAAGAGAAGGAGCTGGACGTATTGTTCAAAGGAGGAGCACGAAGAACTTGTAGCATCTATCATCCCTCAAGAGGAAAGATAGCAGAGTCTGTTATGAGCGCAAATCGGATGTTCGTTCTGCTAGGTGAGACATGTGATAAGGCAAGGGAGGAAAGATGCCTACAAGTTGATGTTGCAAACAAAGAAGAACTATGGCATCATCGATATGGTCATCTCAGCTACAAAGGTCTTCTCACCCTGCGTAACAAGGAGATGGTCACCGGATTACCAGACATTGGACGAGTGAAGATCACGTGTGAAGCATGTGTGAAAGGGAAACATCATCGAGTCCCTTTCCCGAAACAGAGCAAATGGAGATCAACCGAAAAACTGGAACTCATCCACTCTGATCTGTGCGGTCCAATTACTCCAACATCTAATAGCCAAAAGAGGTACTTAATAAGCTTCATCGATGATTTCTCAAGAAAAACGTGGATTTATTTTGTGGTAGAGAAATCAGAAGCTTTCCATATTTTCAAAGAGTTCAAGGCGTTTGTGGAGAAGCAATCAGGGAGCTTTATTAAGTGCCTACGAACTGACAGAGGAGGAGAGTACAACTCTAATGAGTTCAAGGAATTTTGCAAAGAACACGGGATCAAGCGACAACTCACCACTGCATACACTCCGCAACAAAACGGAGTCGCTGAGCGCAAAAACAGAACGATTATGAACATGGTGAGGGCAGTGTTATCGGAGAAGGAAGTGCCAAAGAGCTTTTGGCCAGATGCAGTACAGTGGGCGAATCATGTTCTTAATCGATCTCCTACAACGATCGTGAAAGACATGACACCGGAGGAAGCGTGGAGTGGTTGCAAGCCATCGGTTGAGCATTTTAGAGTCTTTGGCAGCATCGGATATGTTCATATTCCCGATGTCAAACGAACCAAACTTGATGACAAGAGTGTAAAGTGTGTCATGATTGGATACAGTAGCGAATCAAAGGCTTTCAAGATGTTTGATCCCATAAAGAAGAAGGCTCATGTTAGCAGAGACGTGATATTTGAAGAGGAAAAGAAATGGAAGTGGGACGATAGTTACTTGAGTGAACAAAGCATGGAGCTTGAGTGGGAGGATGAGTACGAATGTGTTGAAAATGAAAACGAAGAAGAGGAAGTAGAAGCAGAAGAATCAGAAGAAAATGGAGAACAGAGTGAGGACTCACCCTCGCCCCACTCAAGTTAACACAGAAGCTACAACCTCAACAGTTGGCAGATTAAGAAAGCCACCTGCGTGGCATGCTGATTACACCTCTGGAGAAGAATCATCTGATGCTGAAGCTGAGGCAAACATGGCGAGAATTGGATCTGAAAATCCAGTGTTCACGATGGCTTTCATGGTCATCTCAGATCCAACAACTTTCCAAGAAGCTACAAAACACTTGAGGTGGAAAGAGGCGATGGATGCAGAAATAAGTTCGATTGAGAAGAATCAAACTTGGTCACTGGTGACGCTTCCAGATGGAGCAAAGGCAATCGGGGTGAAATGGATCTACAAAACCAAATTCAACGAGCTTGGAGAAGTCGACAAATTCAAAGCCAGACTTGTCGTGAAAGGCTATGCTCAAGAATATGGGATCGACTATACGGAAGTTTTTGCACCTGTGGCTCGAATGGATACTGTAAGAATGATTATCGCAATGGCAGCTCAACGAGGTTGGGGAATTCATCAGCTGGATGTAAAATCGGCGTTCTTACATGGTGAGTTAAAGGAGGACGTTTTTGTGACACAACCTCAAGGATATGAGGCAATCGGGAAGGAGCACATGGTTTACAAATTGCACAAAGCTCTGTATGGACTAAAACAGGCGCCACGGGCCTGGTTCCATCGCATTGAAGCATACTTTATCAGAGAAGGCTTCGAGAACAGCATCAGTGAACAAACCTTGTTCATCAAGCGCAGAAAAGCGGAGGTCATCGAGAGATTTGGAATGCAGAATTTCAATTCTGTCTGCAATCCAATAGTTCCTGGCCAGAAAATTGGACGTGATGAGGCAGGCGTGAAGGTTGATGCAACTCTGTACAAGCAGATGGTGGGAAGCTTAATGTACTTAACAGCAACACGTCCTGATCTTATGTTTGTGGTGAGTCTCATCAGTCGGTTTATGGCAAATCCGACACAGTTGCACTTCGCTGCTGTAAAAAGGATCATGCGATATTTGAAAGGTACTATGGAGTATGGGATTTGGTACAAGAAAGAGGGAAGAACAGGGCTTATCGGTTACACGGATAGCGATTATGCGGGAGACATTGATGATAGCAAGAGCACTTCAGGTTATGTGTTCTTGTTGGGTGGAGGAGCTGTTGCTTGGTCATCACGAAAGCAACCCATTGTGACGTTGTCGACCACTGAGGCAGAGTACGTTGCAGCAGCAACTTGCGCTTGTCAAGCTGTTTGGATGGGAAGAGTTCTAAAGGAGATTGGATACGATCAAGGAGGAGAAATGGTGTTATTATGTGACAATACTTCTACCATCAAGTTATCTAAGAATGCTGTTTTACATGGGAGATCCAAACATATCAAGGTTCGTTATCATTTTCTAAGGGACTTGGTCAAAGAAGGAGTCATTAAGCTTGTTTACTGTAACACGGAGGAGCAGCTGGCGGATATCATGACAAAGCCGTTGAAGATGGTAACATTTCAGAGAATCCGTGAAGCTTTTGGAATGAGCATGTTGAACTGAGGTCTTGAGGGAGTTCAGTTCAGGGGAGGGATTGTTGAGTTTGTTGTGTCTCTGTTTCCGCAAGTTTAGGAATAAAAGAGACTTGTTCTCTTTAGTTTGTTTCAGTCAATTCTGTTTTGCGTCAAACTAGCTTAGTGGTTGAGTTAGTGGAGTTGTGTCCTTGTTTCTAGTTTGCTTCAGTTATTTGCTTCTGTTGTTGTAAAACTATAAAACGCATTGAAACGTGATGAATGAAGTCAGATCATTTCAGTGCAATATTGTGTCTTCTCTGAAACTGCAATTACAATTCTTATAAAAAGGAGGGACACTTTTGAGCAGATGAAACGGGTAAGATCATATTTGATGATACCTGAGATTGAGAGTGTCCACGTTGAAGCTGATAAGTCCTATTACTAGTTTCACATAAAGAACCAATGGGCTCACCATATCCGAAATTATGTGGTGGCACTGTGTATAAGTTCTGGTCCGTTTCAGTGGATGCAAATAAAGAATTTACGCTCTCTGCTTCAAATGGTGTGTTTAGTTCCTAAAGCAAATGATGATACATATTACCAACTTATTGTCTTATAAAAGATAGAAACTTTGAGCAGTTTTCCAAGGGTATTGATTAGATTAGATAGTACCTGAGATTGAGAGTGTCCACGTTGAAACTGAGCAGTCCTGTTCCTTGTTTCACATAAAGAAACATTAGGCTCGTTGTATCCAAATAGCCTAGACTGATCATCAAGATCTTGTATATCATGTGATCTAGACGATAACGACAGTTGTGGTCGCGGTGGTTGGTCCTAATGATCATCAACAGTATTAGAACGATGGAAACTTGTTGAGGACAGAAACAAAAACCAAAGGAAAGAGTGATACTTGAACTTGAGATGGTAAAGGCTCGGGACGAGCATTGATGTTCAACGGACGTGTCGTTTCTGCATCTCCTAGTAACGATGGTGTCTAACCAATATCGTGAATCGTTAAAAGAATGTGGGATCTAGTTATACGATGAATCTGAATGTAAAAGAAGGATACTTTACCTCACGTTCTCCATATAATATCTCCAGAAATTCGCCTATCTCATCATAATCATCATCCATGTTAGTCTGCAGAAACTAACCTATGAGCGAGAGAAAGACTAAAACGTGAATCTTGATCTAAATCTTGACGAGAATTCAAAAACGATCAACACAATCTCTGTTTCTGTTTCTTTTTGCAACTTTAAATGATGATGTGGTGCTTATATAGGGATAAACCATTGACTAAACCGAAATAAACCACCCCGGCCAGGTAGAGAATAGTCATTAATTATGGTTAATTATTTTATTTTTTCCAATAACCGGAAAAAATGGTAGTAAAGACTTAATTAATCCGTCAATTAAAAAACAATACATACATCATCACATTTTCTAAAATAAAAACTTAAAATTCAAAATTTAGAATGTAAAATTTCATATCTTATCAACATATAAATTCAAAAATAGATATTATAAATTGACAAAAATTTAAGTAAAAACTATAAATTAACTCTCTTCTTTTTGTTGGTAATAGGAGTGAATCCTAGACGACTACAGTAAAACCTCTATAAATTAATAATGTTGAGACCATGAAATTTTATTAATTTAGAGAGGTATTAATTTATCAATAAATTAATAATTATTAATTTATAGAGAGATTTTACTAATTTTAAAATTTCTTTAAAAATTTCTATCTAAAAATAATTTTTTTTCTTTATAAGCAATATTTTTTTAAACCAATTGCAAGTAGAGAAGCAAATATTAAGTTTAAAAAACAACACAAACTTTTTTCGAATAATAGAGTCATATTTCATTAAATTTTTTACATATAATATTTTAAATATATATCATAGTAATTCATATATGATATATAAATTTATATCATATATATATATATTAAGTTAAATATACATATATATATATATATATTGATAAGTTTATATAATTATTAATTTATAATATAGATGAGACCATATGTTTACATGGGATTTTTAAAAAAATTATTATCTTATTAATTTATCGATTTATGTCATATTTTACACTGGTCCCAACTCGGAACCGGAAGAATTTATTAATTTAGAGAGGTTATTAATTTATAGAGTATTAATTTATAGAGGTTTTACTGTAGTTCCAAAATTTATAAAATTTAAGTTTTCTTGCCATTCAAGGCATTAAAAGTGGCAAAGCTGATTCACGCTGAGGGGATTCGTTCTCTGGTTTGGACCAACATAACAAACTTCTGCAATAGAGCCAAACCACTCAGCGACAAATATTTTGTTTATACTACCTTTACTTAAGCAAATTTTTCTATACGATATTTATATAAATTGTAACAATGTAATATTTGTTAATAAACGGATAACATGGTGGCAAATATAAATACACAAGAGAGTACCCTAAAAAACAACACATTTTCTCATATACAACAAAAGAAAGTAAACACAAACAAGATTCCCTCCGCAAACAAATCTCTCTCCACTTAAAAGAAACACTTAGAACAAATGAAGAATCATAGCAACCATGAATCCAAATCCCAAAACAAGTGTTTTCGCGGCAGAAGAGGAGTCAGCCGGAGGAGAACCTGCACCAGCAAGATCGGCCGTTGTATCGGTAGTACTAGAAGGGAACGTCCCGACGGTTTTGGTGGATGTGCTGCTAGAGCTACCTGGTGAGCCTGGGAACAACGGCAGAGAAGTCCCCGCTGGAGTAGCCGGAGATAGTGCCGGAGAAAGTGGTGGAATGAGAGGCAGAGAGGAGGAAGGAAGTGGAGTAGAAGGAGATGGAGAGAGAATGGGGACAGGGTTAAGAGGTAAAAGAGGCTGAATAGGTAGAACAGAAGAAGGCGAAGGCGCGTTTAGAGATGGGACGGTGTTTGGAAGCGGTGCGGTTGGTGCTGTGGTTGCAGTTGGAACAACGTTTACTTCAAGTTTCATCCCTTGGATACAGTGTCCCGGCATTCCACAAATGAAGTACCTAAACAAAACCGGTCAAGAATTTATATTTCTAAATATATTGCCAAGTATATAAATCATCATTTGGTCTTTGATTTGCATGTGAAAGTATTTACCTTTTTCCAGGAGTAATAAGAGGAACCAAGGAGTTTCCATTAGCAAACGTTATAAGCGGTTTAACCGCTTGACAGCTATCAAATTCGGGTTTTGTGACTTCAACGACGTCGTGGAATGCAGCAGGGTAGGAGAAAACTGTTTCAAGCAAAAACAGAGTTTTGGTTTTTAGTCTTTTTTTTTTTATGTTGAATCAAAGTTTAAGATAGAGATGTGATATTACTTACCAAGATTGTCTCCGACAGCAAATGTTTGTCCTGCAGCCCAAGTTCGAAGACTAGCTCCTACAGTCCAACCACTAGGACCACCAATGGTGTGGTCAGTAGCTACTGCTAAACCCAGGAGTGTAGTGGTTACTACCGAGATTATGATCAGCATGTCTCTAGATGCCATTCTAATCTTCTTCTCTTCTTTTTCTTTTTGGGGGAAAATCAACAAGAGATTGAAAGATAGATAAAGAGATGATGATGTTTTGTGCTTCACATTTGGTGTCAAATGTGTGTATATATAATGGTTAGAGGATAAATTATTGAGAAGAATCTTTTATGATAAGAGTTGGTAAATAATAAACTTGCGTTTGTATCTGTTGAGAGTTAGTATGTTGGATCAAGTAAGCTATTCTTTTCTTTTTTGGTTTTACCTAATCCACTTGAAACCAGACAACGTTCATGTTGCTACACTTGTCCAAAACCAGTTTAGTTGCACCTAAAGCAAGTTTCTTTAATGCTTTATAAGTTTTATCTTTTACAAGAACAGGTAAAGATAATATTAATCCAAGAGAAATTACACAATTACACATCTTCCTGTACATTATAGAGCCAGTGTAGTCTCTCTCTCTCTCTGTAATGGAAGTTACAAGTTACAGTATAAGTAACAGAGTACTTTGTATGTGTTGTTATTCAAAACTTTCCAGAACTTAGCACAAAACAACAAGAACGTTGAGATTTTTATACACCGGGGCTGTGACTGTGAGCGAGTAATTTCTCATGTTCGCTGTCGATATCGTTTTGGAGTGAAAGAGGATTAGATTGATGAGAAGTATGCTTGGGATTGTTGATTTTGTACCATACATTCTCTATACGGAAAAACGCCCACTGGAATCGCCTGTAAATCTCCAAGGCAGTGATGATGAAGACCGTGATGTAGTTGTTACGGAGATGAGCAGATAACTTATACGTCCATGTCCACCTTAGTACCAGATTGCTTCCGATTACCCAAACATGTACCTGCAAAACCGCATATCCAATTCAGACGCATTTAGCTAGTTACTTATCGATCAGGCCATGTGGTTGGAAGCTTTAATGAAAAGAATAAAACTATATATTACCCAACGGCGTCCATACAGTAGATGGGAGAAAAGATTTGGTCTGCTGAATTTGAAAATCCGAGTGAAGACACTACAAGCAAAAAAGAGGTAAGAAATCTAACTCTGACAGTGTATATAAGATTAAATTCACTATACCTTAGATCCCAATCGCGTAATATATCCCAAAAGAAGGAAAAGAAAGTGTTAGCTAGACCAGCGAGGATCCATGCCGGCTGAATGGAGTACGTCCATGTATCTGGATCGATATAATACTTGAGGGCTGAAAGAAAGATGACAGGCACCGCGGTTAAATATTTCCCAGCTGAAAAAAAAAAGACAGGGGAGAGATATTAGAAATCTTGCGAAAGCCAAACACAAAAGAACCGGTTTTTGTTACAAAAGGAAATGTCTCGGATTTGGGTTATTACCATTATAGATGTTTGCAATGTCCTTGCTATCTTTATACTGACGAATGCATTGGAACAGCCGGAAAAGATAAGGTAGAACAAGAACCAAGGGAATTGCAGCAGAATGACTCCCGCAAACCGAATCGGCTTCAAACCATGCAACAGTAGCCACCTACAACGAATTCATCAGATTCACTGAGCATGTGTAATGATACCTCAGCAATAAAGAAGAAGAAAACTTACTGACCTGTCGATGGACCATACGACATACTGAACGTTCTAAATCTGATAAAACCTGCAAAATATATTTGTTGTTGTTCAACAATTGCATTCCACATATATAGAGGAAAGGTAAAAAATTGTGTTACCTTTGACATTGAAGTCAGGATATCAGCTAGGAAGAAGTCCGAAAAAGTCACTGCCTGTTTGTACCAAAGGATAGTTAGATGATGTAAGTGCATCTTCAACCGAAAAAAAAAATTGTATTCCTTTACCTGCACCGGGAAGAGTATTCGCCAAAAAGTCCAAAGCAAATAGTAGCGAGACGGCATGTAGAAGATATCGAAAGGGATGATCAGAATAATCACAGCTGAGAAATACAAAGCCACCTGGAAACATCCGAAAAGGTCACTCTATGAAAAATTGAATCAAAATCTCTTTGAAACAACTTTAAGAGAAGATGCATCTATTACACTGGTTGAGATGCAGCCAATTTTACATCTCCGTGCGAGTATAGATATAGATAGGCAGTCATGCTAGTCAATATAATTGTTGTCATCCACCTGGCACACTGTGACACCGGTTACATAGATGTAATCGAACGGAAAATATATACAAATGATCTAACTAAGAGTTATCTACCTTCCATATCTCTTTGTGACTAAGATGATCTGGTCCTAGATAAAAGATAGCTGCATAATCAACTCCAGACCGAGAAAAAACCCACAAATTAACACCCCAGAGCCAGACCATGAGTGTCTGAACAAAATAGCACACATCAGGAAACACACTTGAAGGATTTGACTAACTAATTTGAGAGGAAAAGTAACTTACAATGAGAAGGAGAGGGTTATAATACAGAAATGTCTCATAGAAGAACAGTTCTCTTGTGTCTACTCCCATTTTCATTACAGATTCAAATCCAATCTGCAAGTTTTTAACATTATTGTATATTGCCAAGACTGAAAACTCAAACGATGGCTTAAACTCAAAAGCTAAGATCATTGTTTGCAAGAATAAGAGTTCAAAATCCAACCTTTCCACAAACATAAAGACCACCAATATACAGAGCAACCTGGAGAATCAAGATTAAAACGAGAAATTTGATGATATGATACAATCAGCGAGAACCTATGAGTGCATCATTAGACATGCTAAAAAATCTAATAAGTTTGAATAAATGAACAAAACCTTGAGACTTCGAAGGAATATAGGAGTTTGCAATTTAGCATATGTACTCAGAAGCATACTTGCGGTCTTCAAGTCATTATCTCCTAAACCATCCATTAAAAATGTAATCAAAATCACTAAGCAGAAACTGATTTTTTTGGTACAAAAAAAAGAAAAGAGAAAAAGCTAACCAAGATTAGTGACGATGTGTCTACTTCCAGATTTGCGCAAGTGAGGACTATTCACAGGCATAGACAAGACACCCCCAAACATAGATGCCAAAGACAAAACTTTTCTCTGTCTCGTTTTGTTCTGAAACCAATCGCCAGCAGCTAAGACCTAACTCTTACGAAATTCAACTAAACTATAAAAACCACGAAAGTGAAAGACTTTCCAACGAAGAAGACAAATGGGTACCTTCCAAAACAGGAAACTTTCGTCGATTGCTTACTCTGGATTCTGAAAGAAGAAGTCACGCTGCTCTTAACATGAAGACAAATCAAACCCTTTCCAAAACAGGAAACTTTTTTCACCAATTCCTTCCTACTCTGAAAGAGGCGTCCCACTGCTCAACACGAACAATCGCATCGAGATAATGTTAAACCCAATCGGTACCAAAGAAAATAAAATCTAGCAAACCCATCAAAAGATTCAATCTGAATCACAAAAAAGTCGATGGCTTTAAAGCGGCTGAGAGAGATAAATTAAAACCCTCTCTTTTGTATTTTAGCGGAAAAAATAATAATAAAAATTCGCATTAAGAAAAAAAAAGCTCTTTAATTTTTCTTCGAAACGTCAAAATGTACATACATTTGCATTGAGTTCCTAAGAAATAAACACAATTCACAAGACAGCAAATCAAAATTACGTTGTAAGAATTAAGGAAGAAGTCTTTGAAGGCAAACCCAGAAAAGGAACAATCGATAAAAGTCCACCGTTCTTATTGGATATCTCTCAAGAGATACGATTTAGGGGTTGGAGAAAGAAAAAAAGAAACGTTGTGATGATTATTAGCAAAAACCAATAATCAATGAGAGCGATAGGGAGAGAGAGATACAAATAATCTAACGAGTTTTTTTGTTAAACAAGAAAAAAGAATGTTTTAGTTTTGGTCAACGGCTTATGCAAGTTATTGACTTTAGCAACTCTTTTACGTGTTATCAAGCTAAAATCTCCTTATTTATTATTAGATTTTGTTTATATAAAAGTACAAATATTACTTTATTTTTTTTTATCCAGAAATTGAAGAATATGATTTAATTTAATTTTGTCAAATATTTTACATAATAAGTAGTACTAGAAATTGCATCAACTTTATAAATAAAAAATTTACATAAGCCTTCACATTTCAAAATGTTCTAACCATTTTTCACTTAATTAGTTCATGCTTTTTTTTGTGGGTTTTTCAAATTTAGATTTAAAAAAAAAAAAATCATCATCACACTATCATCTTGGATGACAATCTTCTGTTTTTTGTGTGTATATTATAATTCATTCCCTTGTTTACTCTTTATAGTGAGCAATGATTGATTATTCTAAGTTAACTATTTTTATTTGCTTTGTGTTCTTTTCTTTATAGCGAATTTTCAAAATCGGATTTCCATGAGTATGTTACTCTTTTCTTTGTCACGCGAGTTATAAAGCAAAATATCTCTCAACTAAATTGCTAAGAAATGAAATGAAATCGAAGTATTTTAAATTTGCAATATATCCTACTATGCATGATTGATGGATTTTGTTAGTAAAAACCAATATATCGATACTGTCCATGGAATTGATTATTTATCAAGGACACAATGAGGTGTCTCAGGAGCATAAAGTTTTGACATTAGTAACTGGAGAACCTTCATGGAGACTGATCGAATGTTGCATACCCCATTCTCCTTGATATAGTGAGATATGCATTAATGGTGTTATCCTAATATTGGTATTATGCGAATAATAAGATTGTCAACCTATAAGGCAAAAGAAAAATCTAGTATCACATGGATATTTATTGGTTATAAGATAATTCATTCGGGAGATTACAAAACAAGGAATAGAATTTATAGAAACGTGACTAAACAAAAATACAAAAAAAAAAAAAAAAAAACAATTGGGCAAGAAAATCATGGCCACGTTTTGTTGATAACATACGAACGCGCCAGAAAATTAGCAAATTTAGTTTCACTGAAAAAAATATAGAAAACAAAGAAAATTGTGTTTGATCATAATGATTCCTGTAAAGGATTTTTGTAGTTCCGTCAAGCGCAAGGTACCATGACAAGCGTATTAGGAGTGATGAACCCTAATCTGATCAACGGAAGAAATCTCCACAAAGGATCTTTAATTTTTGTTAAAGTTGAAGAAATAAAAAAACGAGGCCAATGGAGATTCTCAATCAAGGAGAAATCTTTAAGAACGCCTCAAGCCACTGCTTCTTCTACAACAGAACCAAAGGTTAGTGACAACAATCTTTGAGCCATTTTCTAGTTAACTCTCTGGTTTTGTTTTTGAATCCTTAATCTTGAAAACACAGACGACAGAGTTCAATACGACGACGTATGAAAACAAAATGTTGACCAACTATGTTCCTGTCTACGTCATGCTTCAGCTTGGAGTCATCACGAACGATAACGTTCTTGAAAACGAAGAGAATCTCAAGAGACAGCTCAAGAAACTGAAACAGAGTCAAGTAGATGGAGTGATGGTTGATGTTTGGTGGGGAATCGTTGAATCAAAAGGTCCAAAGCAATATCAATGGAGTGCTTATAGAAACTTGTTTGCGATCGTACAAAGCTTTGGACTAAAATTACAAGCTATAATGTCGTTTCATAGATGTGGAGGCAACATAGGAGACGATGTTAACATCCCGATACCGAAATGGGTGCTCGAAATCGGGGATTCGAATCCCGATATCTTCTATACGAACAAGAGTGGTAATAGAAACAAAGAGTGTTTGTCTCTCTCTGTAGATAACTTGTCTCTTTTCAGAGGAAGAACAGCTGTTGAGGTATCAAAAACTCTTGAATTTAGAACCCTAGGAAAAACTGCTTTTGTGTATTTATATAATCTTTGCTCTGTTTCTAGATGTACAGAGACTACATGAAGAGCTTTAGAGAGAACATGGAAGATTTCATTAACTCTGGAGTTATAATAGACATTGAAGTAGGGCTTGGTCCTGCTGGAGAGCTTAGGTATCCTTCTTACAGCGAGACTCAAGGATGGGTTTTTCCAGGAATTGGGGAATTTCAAGTAAGAAAAAGAAAATATGACTCTTAATTTCTTTAGGGTTTGAAAAAAAAACAGAGCCTTATAAGTTTATTTTGTATGATTATTTCAATCTCACAGTGTTATGACAAGTATCTAAGATCAGACTATGAAGAAGAAGTTAGAAGGATCGGACATCCAGAGTGGAAACTTCCGGAAAATGCAGGTGAATACAACAATGTTCCAGAAGAGACCGAGTTTTTCGAGTACTCGAATGGGACTTACCTTAAGGAAGAAGGAAAGTTCTTCTTGTCATGGTACTCCAGAAAGTTACGTCTCCATGGTGATCAGATTCTTGATGAAGCTAATAAAGTGTTTCTTGGGTGTAAACTCAAGATAGCAGCAAAAGTAAATCAACTATTGTATCATTTTCTTTTGTAATGCATTCTAAACATGATTTAGATTTAGGGTTTTCTTAATTTTTTCTCAATTTTTCAGGTCTCTGGAATCCATTGGTGGTACAAAACTGAAAGTCATGCTGCAGAACTTACCGCAGGTTATTACAATCTCAAAACCAGAGATGGGTATCGTGCGATTGCGAGAATGATGGGTAGACATCATGCCATCTTAAATTTCACTTGTCTAGAGATGAAGAACACAGAGCAGCCAGCAAAAGCTAAGAGTGGACCACAAGAACTTGTTCAGCAAGTAAGCAAGTTGGATCTGTAAATACAACACTTCTTGGTATATATGTTACTTAAATTGATTTTGGTAATGGTTTAATTTGAAGGTTTTGAGCTCTGGATGGAGAGAAGGGATTGAAGTTGCGGGCGAAAACGCCCTTCCGAGATTCGATAGAAATGGATATAACCAGATAATACTAAACGCAAGGCCTAATGGGATTAACCAAGATGGTAAACCGAGGATGTTTGGGTTCACATATCTCAGGCTATCTGATAAACTTCTCCGCGAACCGAATTTCTCAAGGTTTAAAATGTTCTTGAAACGAATGCATGCCAACCAAGTGAGGAATCTAAAGGCCTCTTTGAGTCTTTGCTTCAAGACTCATTTCACATTTTCTTAAACTTATGTTTGTTTTATGTTTCAGGAGTATTGTTCAGAGCCTGAAAGGTATAATCACGAGCTGTTTCCTTTGGAAAGATCGAGAAACGATGAATCATTGGAGAAGTTTATGGAAGAAACAGAACCAGTTGATCCATTTCCATGGCTGGAAGAGACAGATATGAGTATTAGACCGTTTGAGAGTATACTGTCTCTATTGCAAAGCACATTCTTGAGGAAGAAGTCCTAGACAGATGCTTAGGACAAATCTATAGACTTGCAATATTTCTGAAATAAAAATGTAAATTTGAGATAAATATATAAAAGTAAATAATTCATCCTAATAATGTAATTTTGAAGCATCAGTTTGTTATAACAGGATATGACAACTGTAGACATTTTGAACAACAAAAATCAGTTTTCTACAAAATCCTGTTTTGGTCGGATTTTAAGGCTATAGCTTCTTCCGATAGTGTAGAAAAGGTTTGTGTAATTTTAAGGCTTTGTATTATTTTCATTCTCTTGCATTTTTAAATAGAAGATCTTTTGTCAAAAAAATATATCAAAATCTCTACTGCATTTGATACTATTTGTATCAAAATTATTCTATTTTTCTAGAAATCAGTTTTGAAAAAAAAAATCCCGTGACAAGGATTCACAATCTCACATAGGTGTGTGTGTGAAACAGAACGAGAGTATTGAATTAATTTCAAGAATCGAAGCAAAGACAAGATTCCACCAAACGTCATTATCACTAGTGCATTTTAACCCCACATGCGACAACAGAGCGTGACATAAAAGCTTTTCCATTGTTTTTCTCAAAATGACACGGCTTTTCAAATTACAAAAGTGACTTCGAAATAAGTGAAACGATTCGGAAAAAGAAATAAATTGAAACTAGGTTATAGTATGATTATACATAAATATTGTCAAGGACAAGGACCTACCTGTTCCATCATTAACCGTGACACTTTGTCACTTAGCTTCATCTTTGGCCGCAGTGGCAGAAACGTAATAAGCAACACAGAAGAGGGCATGAAGAAAACACAAAATCCCTCCAATGGAGAGAAAGTGGTGATGTGTGAATCCACAAGAGGATCTTGACTTACTGTTCGACATCGTCCCGATCACTATACTCCCGAATCCAACGGCGAATACGATCCTGTGATTACACCATCCACCACATGTCATTTTACTTGGACCAAACAATTAATTATTAATGCCAAAGAAGATTTGTATTAACGTACCAAGTGAGGACGAGACAAGCCATGGAGATTTGTCTAGTGGAAGAAGATCTTTGAAACTCGTCTTGAGAGCAAATACAAAGACAGCCTCCGACCAAGTTTAGTAGGACATGAGCCATTACCAATATCGCGGCTGCACCTAGACCGAGCCTGAACGCGTCCTGGCTCGGCTCTCTGCACTCAAATAACCAAAGCCTCATGTGCTTCACCTATATTCACATATGTAACAACACCGTTTTTAGAAAATGTGCATCGGAATAGGAACTCAATTTAATTAAATTTATCTCTTCTTTTTCTTTTTCTTTTTTTGAAAATTTCTATTATTTGGGGTACTTACTAATGTTTCTTAAAAAGAAAACTGTTTTTACACATAATATAAAAAATATCTGCAGAAAAATTATAAGTTTGTAACGGTACTATATGCTTATTATCATGGATTGGGGAAAACTTTTTTAAAATCTGATAGACAACATGTATATACGTAGCATACCTGGTTTTGGGCGACTTCAGCTTGGATTCCGAGGATTGCAGCAGCTACATCTAAGCCCACAATGACTAAACAAACAAGAATACCTCCTATCTTTGTCATTTTAAAATCTCTTCACTAACTATAGGATTAAGTTTTGTAGGAGATACTTTGAGAACAAACAACTTTGAAAGTGTGAAATAGAAAAGGAGAAGCTTCTTTCTGAGGGAGAGAATGTTAGTTGAAGAGGGGATGAGAATGGGTAGTGAAAAGTCTAATGAGTAATGATATCTTATGACAAAATCGGTTCATATATAAAGAGTAGTAATTGTTATGAGTGTGTGGAAGAAAAAGAGAGAGAAAGAGATAGAAGAACAAAAAAGTAGAAAATGAGAGAAAAAGATACTATATCTCTTGTTAGATATTTTTGTATCTTTTAGTTTTTTTTTTTTTTTTTTGGCTCCATGCCTTTTTGTTAAAACTTAAAAGTAGTAAATAAGACCTATAACGTTTTACAAGTAACTAGATTATGATATATAATCACATTAGATAACTAACCAGATCCTATAAAAAAAATTAAGAAAATAAAACAATAGTTTTGATGAAAATAAAAATATATAGCGTAAATATTATTTTTAACTATACCATTTTACTTTAAACTGATTTTTAAATTATCCAAGTTTACCTAAAAGTTTTTTTTTTTAAACGACGCAAAGTAAATAAATATGATGTGAAAATGATCAAAATAACAATTGGATCAAAGACGTTATTGTCTCTCATGACATATCACTTACTATATGCTAATTTAAAATTGAGAATCGAAAAAGATAATTAACTGTATTAATATTTCAACTAACTATCTTGTAGATATATTGCTTTAGTTTATCTGAATTTACTAGTTTTCTTTATTGAATGAAAATTTACTAGTTTTCAAAATGGATTTAATTTCATACTTTATCTATGTTTTTGATGAATTCATTTTACTTAACGTATATCCAAAATTTATTATTTTATAATCTTTACCGAAAAAAGTCATCAAATGTTTACCGAAAGCAAATCTTTAATTTCGCTTAGCGTTACTGATTTTAGTGAAACGACATAAAGCTATATTTTTGTTTACATTTAATACGATTATTTGCTACATAAGTATGCTTTAGCAAAGAAAGCAAAGACATAAAGCTATTCTTTAACAAAAAGGACATAAAGCTATTACAATTTGATATTGATGTAGTAGAAACTCGAAAAAATAGAGGATTGTGTAAAACAATTGAAATGAATAGTATGGGAATGGTTATTTTGAGCAACATTAATCAAAGTTGAAAAAAATATATATTATAGGAATATAAATAATTTATAAAATAAAAATAGAAGAAACAGGGAAGGATTAGCTGGGATATGCATGTGGTACTTTGGCACCAAAGCCAATAAAGCTTCTTTTTGTCCATATGGAATGGCGAATTTGCTTTAGATAAAACTTATCGATTTGTTGTTAATTAACATTTCTGCAAGTCAATAATAATAAAATACTCGTTTTTGTAGTTTCTTTTTATTTATTTGTTTGGTTTGGGTAAACATGGTTGGATTCTTTGTGTTGGGGAGAAAGAAAAGTAGGGCATAATACAACCCAACCAAGCATGGCCAATGTCTTAACTTCTCTGTTAAAGAATCAAAATTTATGTTCCTTAATTCCATAGACCATAGTAATTAGAGTCAATTAGCTGTATGCTAATTATTTGAGAAATTATTTGAGAAATTAACATGGTTGTTAATTATTTGAGAAATAATTAGCTTGTACATACACAACTTTTATTCTTTGCAAAATAAGAGAGAGAAATCTTTGGTTTTGAAAAAATCGGACGAATTTACCCCTGGAATAAGACACATGTGTATTTCCCGATATATCACTATATATCATGATATATAATCAAAAAGAGAATGGTTAGAAAAACCAGAAACTGATGTTGGATCATAAAAAACCAATCAATCTCTATGACGACTCTGCAAAGAATCCTCCAAATCAAGATCAACACCAACACGATTCAAGACATTATCTTCCACTTATTCTCAAGTTCCTTAAACCTCTCAACATCAAACTTATGACTCTTAAGCAACTTCCTCTGCCTAGAAAGAAACAACCTTTTCATGAAATCTTGATACGTTGGGTCTCTTGAAGTCATCAAAAAATAAGCATAACCCACAATAATCCCAGTAGTTGTAGTGAAAAACGTTATTTGTTCTTAGCGTTGTCGGTTGACGGTGTCTCAAATCATCTCTAACAGAAGCTCAATAATAACGAACGACATCCAAACATACGACGTTTCTATATCGAAATTTTTTTAAGGTTTATTGAGTTCATTTTAATCAGAAAAATGCGACGAGTTTAATGAATTCAAATACCATAATTTTAGATGCAATCAGTTTCACAATTAAGAAGAATCATTTGTTTGGGGTTATCATAAAATAAAGAAAAAAAAAGAAAAAAATAAATAATAAAAGTAAAGAGAAACAAAGAATGAAAGAAGAAAGAATGAAGTGTTTGATTTTAGGGGTATTTTAGTCTTTTTATCATGTTTTCAGTTGATCATTTATTTACAGGTTTGCCACTTCTCTATTAACTTAAATACTTCTCAGTCTTAGGGTATGTAGTGTAATTACTCTAGTAATTATGCAGAGAATATATTACTTATAACAACATTATATGACAAAATGGGAAAACTTTAGTACTAAACAATATATAGTTATAAAAACAAAAACAAAAGTTTCGAAACTCACAAAATCGATGATGTCTAAAGATGTAGGGCATGTATACAAAAATAGTCGCGATAAATAACTATCAAACAGTTCATGATTAAAGACGTTTAGCGTCTCGTTCAGACGTTCACTAATCACCACTATACATCTGTTGTTGGGTTTGACAAAACATCCAAGATGGGCCTTCATTGAGCCAGACAAAATTGACATAAAGAAAAAGAAGAATTAAGTGGCCCACTCCATGCATTTATATATCTCTACGTGAGATAAGAGAAAGTGGAGGTAGGTGTGAGACAAGACAAAAAAAAAGGGTTCTAGAGAAAGAGAAAAAACGTTAGAGTTCTCAAGAAGCTTTCTCCATGTTGTTCTTTTAATTTGTGTCTTTGATCTTGTTCTTACTGAGCTTGTACCTGAAACCAAAAAGACAACATCACAAGTTAAGTGGTGTTTGTAATCTCTTTTGATATAGTGAAGCTTTGGAAGCAAGAGTCCTTCCCCGAGACGTAGCGGTTAGGCCGTGAACTCGGTTATCAAATTCTTGTGTTTGTTCCTTTTACAAGCTACTCTTCTTCTCAGTTTTCTCTACAACATCATTGTGGTTTTATTCAAACTAATAAGTGCAATAATTAAAACTAATTTTTTAAATCACGGTTTAGTAATGGTTGTGACATTAAACCAAACTATATTTTTTTTGGTTTGAATGTTAAACCGAAAACTAATTGAACCGGAATTGGCTGAAAATTAGGGTTTTACCGACTAATAGAGATAAGGTTTTTATGAGGCGTGTTCATGTTGTTATCTTGTACGCTAGATTTCTTAGCCATGACTCGTCAACCTCGGGATTTGTGGAGCTCTCGATGATCTTGTCAAATTAAGTCTATGAATTGTTGAATCCCGTTCTGGCCGAGACGTAGGATCAATCACACCGGTGGATCTTAACTCGTAATTACTTCATGTGTTCATCTACTTCTCTTATATATCTTCTCTAACATTAATCTATGTTCTTGAGCATGACTTGTTAGATCTCTTTGTTCTGGTTTGTTACGATTGTGTTTGGTGAAATTCAATTTTCGATTTAGGTTCCAGGTTGATGCAAGAATCGAAGTATATGGTATCATTCATAGCCCCATGTTACAAATAAAATGGTGAATACTATGGATGGAAGTGGATCCTTTTGGTGGAAAGGCGATTTGTCACTATGGATGAATGGATGCTAAAGACACAATCCATGTCGAAGACTAAACAAGCTAGAATCTGGTGAAACACATAAATTGACTTAAGACTCCTCAAAGGTTAGTTTGTGATATAGGAAGACTAAAAACTTGATAATCTTGATTGTTTGTGATGACGTATTGCGGAAGATCATTAATTGTGGTCTACTTTAACAAGATTGTACATGTAAAGATCGTATCTATATGCAACTCAAGTTGTGTGCGTTTGAGATGGGAAAATCAAAGTTTAATTGATGTGAACATTGATGATTTTCTGAAATTGGTAGAAGATCTTAGCAATCTTGGTGTAATTATATCCGAAGAGGTTCAAGCTATCTTTCTCAAACTCTCATTGCCTCACAAGTTTGATCAACTTAATTAATGAAATACTTAAGTACATACGGTAAGGGCGATATCAGTTTAGACGAAGTCTTTGTTGCACCATGCTTAAGGAGAGGAGTGTTGTGTGAGACTAGTAGGTCTCATAAGATTCAAGTGATGGATTAAACACGAGGGAATGTCAGAGAAAAGGGATGATGATTCTTCGAGGTAATTATCATGAACTAGGTCAAGAACAAAGACTAAAGTCACATGTTGGTTTTGGAAGAAAGAAAGACATCTTATAAAAGACATCTAAATTTATTTATTACAAATGGTTTTCCCGCTGTAACACTGCATTCGATACGATTACAACACCATTCTAAATCGCTTTTTAAAAGAGAAGAAAACTAGAGACTTCAATATGTAAAAGGATAAAGAGTCAATCCTGGCGATGCTCTATCTGTCACTTAAGATTCCGACCTAACAACCAAAACACAAATCATTAAATAATATTATGATGAACAAAGTATATATGACAAAAGAATGGAATAGATTTTAATAATAGTTCAAAGTTAGAGAAAAGCATTTTGCTACCACAAAATTATCTGAATCTCTTCAGTAATTGGTTTAACGACCAAGCATGTGAGACTCTCGCAATTTGGTGGTCAATTTGGTGGTCACTCTCGGTTTCGTCACCTTCCAATATTGGAGGTAAAGACGGCCTCCAGCGTTTAGGCTCTGCTGAGTGACCTGAGACACCTGAGTCAACTGAGTCACTTGAGACAACTGAGTCACCTGAGACAGGCACCACCGTTGGCTGGACGGCGGAGGTGGAACGGCAACATCGACGAAATAGAGAAAAAATCATTTGAAACTCGATTACTTAAAATATTATTATTGGTTCGATAATGTAGAGATTGGGGTTTTCTTTAACTTTTTTATGTGTATAATATATACACACTGTTAGTATATATAAAAGGTAATTACTTTTTTTTTGGTGGGGTCATATATCGGGGTGTTACTTGTAAGAAATAATTATATCTTTTATAGTAGTAAATCTATAAATAATTTACCAATTTAATGCCACATTAATACATATAATAATTCACATAAAATGTCAAAAATGATATATTTATAATTGATAAGAGCTATAATTATATAACAGCTAATGCGAATAATATATAGGAAAATAATAGTGAACATGAGTCAAGATTCATGAATGGGAAATTGTTGATATCAGAATTTTAAATTGGAAGTTTTGGAATGTAGAATTTTCTTTCTAAATTCTACATTTTGGAATGTAGAACTTTACAGGTTGTACTTGACCCTTGAGAGTTAAATCTTGATAATAAAATTATAAAGAACATCAGTTATGTGGTGGAGGAAACTTAAGAATATGTTAACCAAAATTTTCTTCTAAACAAAAAAATATAAATATAAGAGACTAACACTATAACCAAATAAAAAAGATATAGCAAGATGTCTCCCACCTATATCTATTTTCGTACGTACATGTATCAAATTAAAAAAAAAAAAAATTGCATTTATGTGGAAGTCTGGGCTTGAGCTTTGGTCCAAGCAATTTACATGATATCTGGAATTAGGCTAATTGGATACCTCCGGACATTAATCGGAAAGCATTCCAAACTCGGGGTTAGGCAGTCCAACACCTAGGTGTTGGCGATAAATCTACATAGTAGCACTTTGGTGTGCGTTCCTCCGGAGCTGATCGAATCAGCTAATCGGGTATATAAAAAAAAAAAAAAAAGTCTAATCTTCTAATACTGTGACATATGATGCACGTATATGTCAAATTCAAACATAAACCATGATAAGTTACTTATTACTCTATATTACCATAGTATGTATTGTATACATGGAGGACATTGTTTTTCATTAAGGACAATTTTTTGGTTAGTATACTTTGCCAAACAATAAAAAGTTATTTTTCACTTTGCCAACTAAGTGAATAACGAAATAAAAATTCAAAAGTGGTCAAAACACGTCACTATTCCTTTATGTTTTCCCCTTATTGATGGAAATGTATAGACATAAATGTAGTGAATATGTTCCAATAATATGTTATATGTTGATGATGTTTATGTTTTGTTTTGTCATCTGAACTCTGAAGTATATATTCATTTGATAAAATTACATAAAAGAAGGATCGAAATATATAACACAAAAAAGAAAGCAACGGTCTTTTCCCGACGTTTTAATGAGGACATTTTTTTTATGACAGATAGAGGATACCAAGATATTGTTGTTTCGAATCTAAAACAGATAAACCAACAAGTACTCATGGTTTATGTAAAACCCACTTTAAGAAATATTGTTTAGTTTGTACTTTGCTGTCATTAAAATCAAATAGTATTTTTTCATTTTTTAACTTCAAACAGGCTCAGCAACATGAAAATGGACAATCGCATCTCCAATTCTTTTTTCTGATTTTAAGAAAATGAAAGATAAATAAGTTACATTATATGCAATTTTTTCTGTCGCAATGCATAAGGGGGAGAAAATTATACAATTCGACGCATAACCGGACAAGGAAACAACCCCGGCGAGGCTCTTATATTCGACGACATTGCAATGTTCCTATTAGACAAACGAAAGATATTTAATAATATTTTTATCAACAAAATGGAAATGACAAATCTCTTAAGATTAATGGATTAGTCTTTTAACATAATATGTAGTATCATCAAACATATATTTTCTATCCAAACGGTATTGCTCAAATATATACATATGTATGCCTCTGATTTTAGCGAACTTCTTTGGTTGATCATTCGTTTTCATTTTTCTTTGTATCTTTTGATCAAATTTAAAGGTTAATTCAAGAATGTATGTCTATAATTTCAGAAAACTTCCTTGCATGGAAACTGCCCTCTCATGGATCATTCGTTTACACTTTTCTTTTAATTATTGAACCTAATCAGTAATTGTTCTTTCCTTAAAAAATTTTATCAAGCCTAGTTTCATTATCATGCTAGATCCATTTTCATAAAGTTAAATCAATGAAGGCAACCAACCACCTAATAGATGATTCCTCAATAAGACAATTAATCTAAAAATTAAATATCATCTGAAAAATTAAATGTCATTTGAAAAATCTTATGTATAATATAGTCGATGATAGAAAAAAAAAAATACAAATTGAAAATTATGTCCTCAATTCATAATTTCCTACTATGTGCAGAAAGAAATCTAATATATATATATTTTCTAATCAGCTAATATGGTATTTATGAAAATAATAAACAGATAATATACGTGAAAACTAACCAGGCTCTCTTAACTATGTAGCTGATTGAAACCATCTTTTCGGCCTTTGATTTCCCACGTACGACTGAAACCTTTTCCTTTGACCGATCACTATCGCCATCGTCCTCCAAGATGGGATATAAAGACGGTTGCCAACGTGTGGAATCCTCACTTGTGCGTCTTCCTGAGTAAGGAGCCAGCAATCGCTGATCAATGGTCGATGATTCCTCTCGATCCACGACATTGGAACGGTAACAATGACTGAATAGAGAGAAAATCATTTCAAACTTGAAAAGACAGATTCGAAAACAAACAACAAAAAAAGTAGATGTGATTCTTTGGTTCGGCGACAAATGGATTTAGGGTTTATTATATACTGAACATTTTATAACTAAAAAAAAAAAAGCGATGGTGATATAATAAACAGTTTCTGCTCATTTAGGTTGTATATATATATATTTTTTCTGGTACAGTTTTAATTTTAAGTTTATTTAATGCTTTTTTATTTAATGCTTTTTATTGTTATGTTAATGAGTCTTTTAAAACCGCGGTTTGTGTTAATGAATCTGTTGGATATCTTTTTGAAACGAAATTTTATTTTCTATCCACTGATACAGTTTCTCTATTATGATCAGTTTAACTCCTATATGGTTTTAGTTAGTACTTAGCACTTTTAAAGTTAGACAAAATTATTGAAACATAACGACCAAAAATTAAAGTCGTGTTTCAAAAAAACATAACATTAACGAAAACTGATGCCATATTGCCATATGTTTATGAATAAGAGCCCTTTAATTTATAAATTAACGTCAATATGCAACTAAACATATGAATGCTCAGAGGACTAAGAGATTTTAAGCCAGTGAACATCCAATATATATATATACACACACTAAATACTTAAAAAATACTTCAATGAAAACCAACTGTAGAAGCATATTTGGTTTATTGGTTTGTTAAGAGATCAGCAAATTCTTAAACCGTCTTGTTCGAAACTTTAATTGATAGCAAACACAAATTTACATATAGTGAATTCAACCTATTTAGAGGTTTCTTTATTGTGCAGTGTGAGTCGTTTAGATCATATTTGTTTTTTTTTTTTTTAAATTTAATGTTAAATTATATTCAAAAGAAAAATAAACGTTTTCTACAACTTAATGCGATGCAATTCGAAGCATTTTTAAGACATTAGAAAGAAAACTGAGTCTTCTCTAGAGCCTTGCTGCAAACCAAGTTTGGAGTCCGCTTGAAGCTCCTCTCCCTTCCATTGTGCTCAACCGATTACGGACATTTTTATCAATTAACTTGACGAGTATCTCTGTTGGTAAAGGCTGTTCACCGTGTCTCCTTCTGTTCCTCTCATTCCATATTGAGTGAATAGAGTTTTGAAACGTGTACCTTAGCAAGAAAGTCTTTGTCTTGTCAAAGCCCTCCCCTTTAAGAAGCTTCATGATCTCTTGCCAATGTTCTGAGAACTTATCCAACAGTAGCCCCAGAACCAATTCTTCCCAAACTGTCTTCGAGTACGGGCACATAAAAAACAGATGCTCTCTTGTTTCTATAGGTACCCCACAGAACACACAACTTGAATTTGCATTCTGCTTCCAAGTCAACATTCTCTCCCCTGTTGCTACTCTGTTTTTAACCACTAGCCATGTGATATAAGCATATTTTGGAGTTGCAGCTTTGAACCATATCTCTTTGAATCCCTCCATCATTGGTTTCGAAGTGCGGATCTGCGCCCATGTTTCTTTGGTCGAGAAACTGTTGCGGTAGCTACTGTTTTTCCCTTTCCATAGGGCCACATCTACCTCATTCCCTCTCAGCTGCATTCTTGCGTTTTTAATTGCTACTTCAACACTGTTTAGCGCTGCCTGGCGATGTTTTCTCCTTCTAGACATTGCCATCACTTCTCTCACTGAGCTAGATAGAGGGATCCCCAAGTCAATGCAGCCTCGCTCCCCTAGCTTCTCCTTTAGACATCCAAGGTCAGACCATTTGTCGTGCCAAAAGGATGTAGTGTCACCATTCTTAACTTCCACTCTATGAAATTGTTTTGCGAGATCACGATACTTCAGCAACTTTCTCCATATCCATGAGCCGCAAGAGGTGGTCTCTTTCACAGCCCAGAAAGAACCATTTCGGATTAGGTACTTGTGAACCCAGTCCACCCATAAGGAGCCCCTTGCAGACAACAAGCGCCAAATCAGTTTTAATATGCTTACTCTGTTCGCTTCCTCCAATGATCTCAAACCCAATCCACCTTCACTCTTTGGAGTGAATACCTCAGTCCACGCCACTTTTGCTCTTTTGCTATTAAGAGAAGGGCCTGACCACAAAAAAGCTGAACATATCTTATCGATTTCTTGAATGCAAGCTTTAGGGAGTCGAAAAGCGGCAATCCAAAAATTCGTAAGACTGAATGTGACTGAGCGGAGCAGCTGCAGTCTCCCGGCGAAAGAGAGCGTCCTAGCTGTCCAGAAGCTAATTTGTGATCTTATTTTTTCCAAGAGAGGAGAATAATCTGCAGAAGTCATTCTTCTTGTTAATAGTGGTAGCCCCAAGTATCGTACCGGTAAGGATCCATACTCAAATGGGAATTGCTGCAAAATTTCTGTTTTCACTTCTGTTGAAACCCCTGCCATATACAATGTCGATTTTTCAAGGCTAATTTTGAGTCCTGAGTGAGTTGCAAAGTCCTCAAAAACCTCAAGTGCTGCTTCGATTGATTTCTTTGTTCCTTCAACACAAGATATAACACAAAAATATATATAATATATAGTTTATTACAAATCACACAAGCAAAATCAACAAATCAAGGCTCGTAACTTTCCTTGGAAACAGATCAATATACACAATTGAAATACTGTTATACACGAAATGTTCCAGAAAATAGAGATCTCAAAAATATCATTGAAAAAGGGGGAAAAGGAACAAATAATTCGATCTCAAGATAGCCATAAAAGGCCATGAACAAAACTAAAAGAGTTGAATTAGGAATTATCAAGCCCATTTAGCCAACAGAGACATGAGGGCAGCACCAAGAAGGAGAGCAATATGGGCCATGATTTGAAGCCCAGTATTGGATTGCATTTTAGGGTGCATGAAATCTGCTGCGAGAAGGTCCACCAGAGACATGTAGATGAGAATGCCTGCGGATGCAGCGTTCAAGACTCCTTGCACGATCAGAGCCGTTGGTGAAGACTCATCGTAAGAATTTGCTATTCCCATTCCCACAACGATTCCTATTGGTGTCGTTATTGCGAAGAACGTCGACATTATTGTTACCGACAAACACTTGAATTTTCCCTGCAACAAAAAAATATGGAAATTGGACAGTAAATATTTTTTTCCAAATTATCTAGTAGACAAACGTTTCAAAGAATTTTTTGTAGATGTCATAAGTTTTTTAATGTGGGAAAAATGTTTTTTTTTTTTCTTCTTAATGTACATTTTTGTTAGCTTTCGCGTACATACCTAGGCTATATCATTAACGATTTTTTTTTCTTTCAAAAAGAGACAATTAAGGAACCGGTAAAATTAAGTTGAAAACTATGCAATACTGAATTTAATTATATCGGAAATAGAGCTTCATTTAATGGAGTAAACAAATGAATATAGAGAAGAATCAAGGTACCTGAGCAATACAACCACCAAGGCCAAGCCCTTCAAAGCATTGATGAAACATTAAGGCAGTAAAGAGAGCTTTTGCAGCATCTGGGCTCTGTGAAGCTCCAAGTGATATTCCTATTACCACTGAGTGTACTATTATGCCCAACTCCAATACCTATTTTAGATTTTAAAAATAATATGACACAAGAATATCAATTCTGAGGTAAATTTCAAACTTAACATTACACATTTTTGTTTTCCAGATTTTGGGCAAAAGGAAATTACGCCATAAGTTCGATTGCATTCCAAAAAATTTCTAGTCTTATATTTTAAAATATGATTTTATTTTCGTTAAAGATTAAATTATGATTTGTTAAAAAAGCTAACCATATGAAAAGTTCTTATTTGGAATGTCGTTCCTCAATAACATGTGACGGTTTCTAGAGAATCAAATCTCACATGCTCTGAATCTAATTCACCGCGTCGACAACAAAAGAAAATCTGGCAAATGCATGAATTTGTAGTAGGATTTTTTATTTTAGAACAAAGATAATACTCCCTTTGTTTCATAAAGAGTGTTATTCTAACATTTTTTACGTAAATTAAAAAAAAGTAAACAAATTTCATTTATGCTTTTTATTAATATACTAAATAATATTCTCTATCTAATTAATAAGCTAAAATTGTAAGGTTAAAAAAGAGAATTAAAACTACATTTAAACACAAAACGACACTCTTTGTGAAACGAGATTAAAATCTTAAAACGACACTTTTTGTGAAACGGAGTGAGTATAATTAAAGTCGAAAACTACATATGCATGCATACTAAAGTTAATTTGTGTATGGATCTGATTATTCTTTTTCGGTTTTTTTTCTTTTGATGAAAAAAACACTTCAAATAAATGCCAAAAAAAAAAAAATCAAATCCATACACGAATCAAAGAAATTTGGTATGGATGCATATGTAGTTTTCTTTTAGCTTTGTTCGCGTTTTTCTGTTAGCTTATTATGTTTTTTTCTAATAATAATAACACAATATTTGGCCCTTTTTCTAATAAAACATATCCTTTAAAATTCCCAAAATGTTAACATTTCGTGTTTCCATTTACACTTATGTTCGATTCTTAGTATCAGTATAACCATTGAAATTGAAATGGAATTGCACGATCATCTTCCTCATAACAATTTTTTTTTTTGGCCCCAAAAAATCAAAAACGTTCTATTTTCTATAGAAAAATATATATTTAAACTAGAAAAACTCTAGATTGTTAAAGGTGGAGCTCAACAAACTCAAAAGCTATGATTATTAAAACGTGGAGCTCAACAAACCTGTGCAATAATTCTAGTCCGGAGAACTTGGACCTTCTCGGAGTCCACGGAGGTCTCGCCGGATTCTCCATCACTGACCCTCTTCGACGCGTTGCAATGTGATTTATAGAAACTCGAAGTGGCAAATGTATCAACGGATAGCGTCAGGATCGCAGCAATCATTGCAATAAATCCGGTGAACGGAAATTCCCATGCTTCAGATGTCAGACACGGCGAGTTAAGCATCTCGTAAGCCTCAGGCAAGACATGCATAAATCCGGTAGCAAGGATAACTCCGGCCGCGAAAGCTTTCGTGACAAAGAAGAAAGATGTTTCTGGACGCAAAGAAGGGAAGACTTTGCCTAACAAAGGGAAAAGAACTCCGATTATACCGGCGACTAGAACGGTAGGAATGGCGGCGATCTTGTATTTCCGAGCTCCCGCTTTGTTTTCATGGTCATCTTTGTGTGAGCATTCACATTTCGGTCCACCATGTGAATGGCCTTCTGCCGCGTTGACGACCGCAATGAGAAGGAGGGAGATGGAGAAGAAGAAGAGTAAGAGTTTATTAGTGAAACATGATCGAGAGAGAATTTGGGAAAAACTCATATTTCTCATTAATGATTCAAGAGGTTGTTACAACGTTCATATACAACACAAGCTCACTAAACCAGAAATAACCACATGGTTAAACCCTTAATTAGATAATAAAACAGAACAATTCCAGAGTCCTTAACCAATGCTATTATATACAAGTATAGTAACTATATACATGTCAATAGCCCTCCTCAAGATGAAGGTGCAAAGATGTTGCAGATTCCCATCTTGACAATGAGACTATGGAAAAGTGCAGGATGCAAAGGTTTAGTCAAAGCATCAGCAAGTTGATGTTCAGACTTGACATACATTGTCTTCAGAAAGCCACAATCAATGTATTCACGAATTTTGTAGCAATCTAAGTCCACATGCTTTGTTCTCTCATGGAAAACAGAATTGTTTGCTATATGCAAAGCCGCAGTGTTATCACAGTAAAGATATGCCGGTCTGGTAAAAGGAACTTTCAAATCAATCATCAACCTTGAAAGCCAAACCAATTCTTTAGAAGCCAATGCCATAGCCCTGAATTCTGATTCAGCCGAGCTACATGACACTGTGTCCTGTTTCACTGATCTCCAGGATAACAAAGATTCACCAATGAACATACAATAAGCAGTAACAGACCTTCTATCATCTGTGCAAGTTCCCCAATCAGCATCCGAGAAACCTCTAAGATCAAAATTAGTGTCAGCTGGATAGAATATGCCTTGACCTACAGTACCTTTCAAGTAGCGCAACACCTTGTGAACAGCAGTGAGATGAATATCTCTAGGATCATGAGAAAACTGACACAATTTATTGACAGCAAAAGAGATATCAGGTCTTGTAATCTGCAGGTACATTAGCTTGCCCACCAATTTGCGATATTGAGTCGGATCTGTTAAAGGAACACCAACTTCTTTAGTCAACTTCACACTAGGATCCATAGGAATAGTAGATGGCTTACTGCCTAAGAATCCTGTAGTTGATAACAACTCCAATGTATATTTTCTTTGACAAAGAGAGATCCCAGCTTCTGTTCTAGCAATCTCCAATCCAAGAAAATACTTAGCCGGACCAAGATTTCTGAGCTTGAAATATGACTGCAATTCATTGATAAAATCAACCACTGCATCATCCTTATTGCTGACAATCAATATATCATCTACATAAACCAGAACTCCAAGTAGAACACCATCACTATACTTAATGAAAAGTGTGTGTTCTGCAACAGACTTATCAAAACCCATCATGACAAGGGTTGATGAAAGTTTCTTAAACCATTGTCTGGAAGCCTGTTTCAAACCATATATTGACTTGTTCAGCCTACAAACAGCTCTAGGAGGTAAAGAAATACCCTGCAAATCAGCATACCCTGGTGGAACTTTCATGTATATTTCTTCATCCAAATCTCCATTAAGAAATGCATTAGAAATATCAATTTGACTAACAGACCATCTCATCTTAGCTGCAAGAATGAATAGCAACCTGACAGAGGCTAACTTGGCAACAGGGGAAAAAGTTTCTTCATAATCTAAGCCCTCCTGTTGTGTAAACCCTTTAGCAACCAATCTGGCCTTATGTCTTTCAATACTCCCATCAGCATTATACTTGATTGTGTAAACCCATTTACAACCAATCGCTTTCTTATCAGGAGGCAAACTACAAATATTCCAAGTCTGAGTCCGTGTCATTGCTCCAATTTCATCTTTCATTGCATTACACCACACCTCAAAATCCTTAGCTTCTGAATATCTTTGGGGTAGGTTTTCATTTGTGATGATATTAATAAAAGCATGAAAAGGCTCAGATAAATTGGAATAAGAAATATAGTTTGATATAGGATGTACAATATTACTAGTAAAGTTATAACAATGAAAGTCCTGCATGTGTTTTGGGGGTTTTCTTTGTCTGCGAGACTTGGATTCAGAAGGAACCAAAGCCTCAGAAGATGTCACATCCTGATTATGGGGTGCATCAGATGATGTTTGCTCATTAAGCAATACATCGGGTATAGCAGGTTTTGGTGATAGAGAAAAGAAAAATTTTGTAGAATCCTTGATAGTGGATGATACAAAGGGATAAATTTCCTCATGAAAGATGACATGTCTTGAAACAGATACAGCGTGTGTCTCCAAATCTAATAGCTTATACCCCTTGTAACCACTAGGATAACCTAGGAAAACACAAGCCTTTGCTCTAGGATCAAATTTATGTCTAGACTTAGGAGAAGTAGAACTATAACACAAACATCCAAAGCTTTTTAAAAAGTTATAATCTGGTAGTTTGGTTGTAAGTTTCTCATAAGGAGACTGATTAGCTAAAACAGGGGTTGGTAGTCTATTGATTAAGTACACTGCTGTTAATACACAATCCCCCCAGAACTCTAAAGGAACATTGGACTGAAATAAAAGGGCTCTAGCAACATTCAAGATGTGCTGATGCTTTCTCTCTACTACAGAATTTTGTTCCGGAGTTTCAGGGCATGAGTGATATGCAATAATGCCTTTTTCAGAAAACAATGCATCAAATTTCAATTCATGTGCATTATCAGATCTAACAGACTTTATTTTCGTGTTATATTGAGTTTCAACCATGTGAACAAAGTTTGGAAAAACAAACAAGACATCAGACTTTAGTTTCATCAAGAAAATCCAAGTAGCACGACTATAATCATCTACAATGGTCAAAAAATATTTATAACCATCCCTAGTTTCAACAGAAAATGGACCCCAAGTATCAATATGAATTAATTCAAAAGGTTCATTACACATGTTCTGTCTAGAATGAAAAGGTAAGTGCTTTTGCTTAGATAAATGACAAACATGACAGGTATGCAATTGTTCTTTATTTTCCTTTAAAACTTTTAAACTCAATACATCAGAAAGTAAGTCAATTCTAGATTGAGAAGGATGTCCTAGTCTTTTATGCCATGTAATAGAATCAACAATGGCATTCACATTGACAGGAGCTATAGAAGGTATAACAGTAGTACCTTTTAAAGAAACAGAGTGATCTAATTCATTGAAATGCAAGACATATAAATTCCCAACTTCATTTCCTTTGCCAATCATCAACTCCTGTGTAAGATCCTGAATAAAGCATGCATCAGATGTAAAACTCACTTTAGTTCTTAATGTCTTTGTTAAAACACTAACACTCATCAAGTTAAACTTGAATTCTGGAATATAAAGCACATCATAGAGAGAGATAGCATCAGTCAACTTGATCAAACCTATGCCCACTATTCTAACAGTATAACCATTAGGGAGAGTAACAAAGGTTCTATCAAGTGGTCTGTACTCTAGGTATAAGGCTCTATTATGTGTGACATGGTGAGTAGCACCTGAATCTAATACCCAAGCTCTAGGAGACACTGCTGGTTCTGTAGATAATGAACAAACAAGCATGTCGTAATAGGAATTTGAGTAAAGAGGTAGGAAGGTACCCGAAATCTGTGAGATTACAGGTACAGAAGTTGAAGTCGAAGCACAAGGCTGAGGAGGTGTGGGAGGTTCAACAACTGCAGAATGAAGCTTGGAACTCAGATACGAAATCATACTCTGTATTTGATCATTTGACATGTCCTCATGAGAATCTCCATGATCAACCTTCGGATCAGGATTAGACTGAATGTGTGTTGTAGCAAGATTTGTAGACCCAATGTTCTGAGGTTGCTTCCATTTTGGACCAGAACCAGGAGGGTATCCATGCAACTTGTAACACTTATCAGCTGTGTGACCAATCTTATGACAATGTGAGCATTTAGGTTTCTTAAATCCACCTTGAGCCAAGAATACTTGAGAATTATCCGGAGTAACAGAAGATGTCTGAACCTGGAAAGCAGAAGGATTGGTAAATGAAGAAGAGGAATTACCTCCAACCATCCGCTGACTTTCATCTTGGTCTAGCATGTTGTAGATCTCTGTTAAACACGGTCTTGGTTTCATATTCAGGATTTGACCTCTAATATTAGCAAAATTGTCATTCAGGCCCATAAGAAATTGAATGATTCTGCTTGTTTCAGCTTCTTCCAAGAGCTCCTTGACATGATCACAGTTACACTTCTTGACTGTGAGAATCCTGGTGTTAGCCAACTGTTCCCATAGTGTCTTCTTCTTAGTGTAATAGGCTGACAAATCAAGATTGCCTTGCTTGAGATTACCAATGGCCTGCTCAAGTTGATACTTCCTTGGAAGATTACTGACTCTAAATCGCAGAAAAAGATCATTCCACATTTCAGCAGCATCCTCATAATACAGGATGCTATCATAAATCTCCTTATTAACCACGTTCAATAACCAAGCCTTCACCATACTGTTACATCTACTCCAGATTTTGAATAAACGATCATCAACATTAGGCCTAGGAAGAGATCCATCTACGAAACTCAATTTATTCTTCGCATCTAGACTCATTCGCATAGCAATTGACCAATTGTTGTAATTCGTACCATCAAGAGTATGAGAAACAATGGATAGACCTGGATGATCCGCAGAATGAAGGAAGAAAGGACTATGAGCATTATCAAACGACTCCATCCCCGCAGAAATCGCCGATTTGTCTCGATTAGCCGGAATCTGAGTGATCGGAGTTATCACGATGTCATCGCCACCTGGAATCGAAGATCCAGCACGAGTCTTCATCGGCGAGTAATCCGATACAGGAGATTGATTCCGAGCTGGTGTTTTCTTCTTTTGTTTCGCCATAGTTGCAGAACGAAGCTCAGATGCGTAAAGAAACTGAAATCGGAGCTCACAAAGGTGATTTGAAGCTTCAATCGATAAGCAATCTTCGCAAATTTGGAATCGTCGCAACAACCGGAGCAAGATAATGAAGAAAAACGAAGAAAAGAAGGAAGAATGAGAAGATTCCGATCAACGATCACCGGAAAAATAACGGAAATAGCTCTGATACCATATTAGTGAAACATGATCGAGAGAGAATTTGGGAAAAACTCATATTTCTCATTAATGATTCAAGAGGTTGTTACAACGTTCATATACAACACAAGCTCACTAAACCAGAAATAACCACATGGTTAAACCCTTAATTAGATAATAAAACAGAACAATTCCAGAGTCCTTAACCAATGCTATTATATACAAGTATAGTAACTATATACATGTCAATAGAGTTTCACGTTCTTAGTCTTCATATCCTCTCTTTTGATAATTAGGGTTTTTATGAAACGGAGAGGGAAAAAGAAATTTGGATTCTTGATGATGCAAAGAAGAAAAAGCTTGGTATGTAAATGGCAGTACTGAATGTATGTATATATACGTATATTAATATCATATAAAAATGTGTGCTAATATTATTTGTTTTCGTTTGATCATTCATTAATAAGATATTGAACTTCTTAAACAAAAAAAAAATTAAAATATTCAACTAATGATTTTGTATCTCGTTTTGCCCTTTTATCTTCACGAAACTTTTGATGGAAAAAAGTAATTCAAACTCA